AGAGAAGTGAGCAGGACAGGAGAAGAAACATACAGAGCAAAGATACGGAGCAAAGCTGTTCGCACACAGGGCCCAGAGTCCGCTCAGGCTGTAGGGGTTTCTCTCAATCACTCTGAACGTCTCATCGCTGATCGCTGCAATATCTCCAACCTGCTGGAGTGTCTGTCTAGCCCTGCAGACGCATAGCCCCACGTTCATGTGATAGCAGTGGAGGGCACACCAGGTGGGAGAGTTCACTGCAAAGCAGGATTTTTGGTGCAGGAGATGTTCATAGTTCTGTTTCTTGTCTTTAAATTTGGTCTTAGTCTGAATCGAACTGAAACCCACCGTTCTGAAATTTCATGTAAATGAGAAATTTCAGAAGACCCTTTCATTTAGAAAGCTTCAGCTGCCAGAAAATAATTCTTCTACTTCACCGTAGTGTATCTGCTCTGACATAAATAGGGTATTTGTCAGCTGTCAAGTACTGAGCTAAAGGCTCTCCTTTTTACTAGGAAGGGAAAATAGGGAATGTCATGTTTAATCTGCCTAAGGGGATACTGTAGTGACTTGCACATGAGGTTCAGACTAGATAAACAACTTGTGGCCATCAAGTGGAGTCATGCAATACCAGTTCAGTTCTCTTTTCAAATCTGTAGATACAGCCAGCGTTTGGAGTCCTTGGACTGCTTTCAGTTCTCAGACTTACACGAAGCAGTTGTACTGATGCAAAGGAGAGCTTTTCTCTGGCAGAGTCTGTTTGCTTGCTACGCTTCAAACTCTTACTCTGAAGATGTCACAAAATAAAAGTACCATTTCTCTAAACTGGTTTCTCTAGTAAATAAGTTACCATCTAGATGTCTAGATACTGTACTTACTTGAAAGTCAGCAGGCTTATTTTAAGCTGTACTGCAGTTTTCTTTATCTGAGCTAATCTTCCCTAGGGGAAAGTATTCCAGTAACAAAGACCCACTTACCCCAAGCGGATAACTTCAAGCCCTGGAGAATGCACTGTGCAGAGGATTACAAAAAACACGTCCTCTTCTGTGGAACAGAGGTCATACAGACCAAGGCAGATGACAGAGGAGTAGTGAAAGCTGTGGTGCTGCGGACTGGTCAGTCACTTCAGTTTGCTTTTCCTTTCATGCTTTTTCTTACTGGAACAGTCTGATTTAATGTGCCCAGTCACATGAAGATAAAGGCGTTAATCCAAATTCACAACAGTCAGATGGAGAATCGATGTCCTGGGCTGGACTAAGCTATTATGTATTGTTTCCATTTGCTTGGCATAACTTTTACAAAAACCACTAGCATATGATTACAAAGAAGAATTTCGCTTTGCTTCTAAGACATTGAAAAAATCCTCCTCCTTAAGACAAAAATAACTTCTTTCTATATTCTGCAGAGTACGTCACATACACTGAAATGAAATATCTGGGCCTTCTTTCTTAAGTTACAGAAATTATGTGTCATTTTAAAGCCCTCCATTCTTTGTAGAGAACTTTTGGAAATGTTTTCCAGCTGGAATGATTTTAGAATCATAGAATCATAGAATC